GAGGGCGAGCGATTAGACGGGGTGCGTCAGGACGAAATGACCTGGACCCACCCATCCATTTACCCATCCACTTACCCAGACTGCCCCCAAAACTGCGCAAGGACGCGTCGAATCAACGCGTTATTATGTCTCTAGACGCGCTTTGAGGTACAAGCAGTCATAAAGCAGTCGAAAATCCTCCTTTTATAGGGAAGTTTATGTGAATTACCCGATTAGGCATAGTACATCAAGTGCTTGACGAGTTGTCAATCGAGCCGCCTACATAGTCAAGTCAAGCTTCAATCAAGCTGAGCTACCCTTCAATCAAGCAAGTTCGAGGGCTGAAATTGAGCTTGACTGATTGTTAGCCACACTGGACAGACCGGTGCTTGACCGCGATGAATGCTGCAGCAACCTGGTTCCCTTCATCCAGAGGCGAACTTTTGCACTTGGCATGTTAACAAAGCGGTGTTACAATATTGCCGCCCTGCTTTTCTAGCTGAAGGCAGCCAAGGAGAAATGTGATGGGATGAGTATCACACGACCTTGCATGCGATTGTAGCCTTTCCGACTCAAGCACGAGCGCCTGGCCGATTTCGAGCGGAAATATGCCGAGAAATTTAGAGACGCAGCCGGCTATGTTAGGACAATCTAGCCATGGGACCTGCAGTCACCATTCAGCTGAAGGAGTTGAAGTATGTGCGTGCTAAGAAAAGTAAGGAACATTACAAGAAGCACTCCCGTCACTTACATGGGCTTGATATAGACGGGCGAAGGGAGCAATCAATATTCACATTCCGCCATGGGGCATGCATCAAGAGACCTGCCTAGAATTCAACATCGCCACAAGTCTACCACGACATTCGTGCAAGCTATATCACATCTCGTAAGAGCTGGACGTTGTAATTGGCTAGAGCAGCTTCTTTTAGAAGGATATCATGTACAGCGCCGTTCTCAACAAATGTAACAATCAAACCGGATGCAGTAGATGGCAGTTGAGCACCATCAAGCAGTTCCACTAGCTGAGTACGTGCTTTACGGCTAAAATCCGGCCGGATTGACGGCTTACCTGGTCCAGTCCTAACGTTTTGTGTTTCTAATGCTATTACTTTTATCTTCATGTACTTTATCGTGCTACCGTCCTTGATCGCGTTAGCTTCAAAATCTAGGTTTCCTTCAACGCTGACAGCAGAACAATGCAGATACGACGGAGCTGCGCGGTACGTGACGTAACACTTGTTACTCACATGCCAGCGTCCCGTCGTGCCTTGGGCGCTCATTCGGGCATTGTTTCATTGCGAGGCGGGGGCTCAATAGGTACCGAACCGACTGACTTTTAACATGACCAGTCCTCATTCAATTTTGTCCGGTACAGTAAAGCTATGTTGTACCAGGAACAAGAAACACATATACTATCTCGAAAAATTCACAGAGTTTCAGAGCTGAACGATCTCTCCCTAGTCCGAAGTGAAATGCTTGTCGTTGCCGCAGCCGTGTTTAACCGAGGTGGGGCGACGTAGACTTTAGGATGGGCGGCTTACTGTCACCAAGTGGCGTGCCCAGCCAATCGCCGAGTGCTACGGCGGGATGTGGATAAACTAGGTACAGTCATGTGGCCCATGAATCTAATAGTTCTTTATTCTTATAGTCAATCATACTAATAAGCCCTAAACCTGCTTACCGACACTCTTCACCAACTCTTTTACTTGGTTCGCCCTGCTTTAAAACATGGCTGAGCTGAACGAGCTGTGCAATCGCATTACCGCAGATCTGGATTTATTAGGCCCTGCGTTGCGCATCACGTCACTGTCAGCAACTCAGAGTGAAGCACTTGGAGCTCTTGCTGCCAGTCTTCGAAACACAGTGGCGACAATTGAAACCAAAACTGGTTCACACCGGCATTTGTGGTCAGAACAAATCTGGAAGGCCAGCGAGCGAAATCGAACTAAAGCGCAGGCAGCGATTCAAACAGTTTTAAGCGGTGGCCATTTCGGAAGCTCGGCAGTTTTTCGCAGGAATATTAAGCTAATTTTCCAAGGGCCTCCTGAATCCAATTTTGATTCAAAAGACACTGTTTGGAGGAAGACCGTGATTAAAAAACGTTGTGAACAGATAATGCAACTGAGCACTGACGGAATTATCTCGTGGGCTATTGCCTATTCTCCGACTAACTGGAATCCTTGCTTTATGTCAAATGACATGTTCAGTTGTCTGCTAGAAGACATAGAACCGGCGGACAGGAAACTATGGCCACCAGCAGTATGCGATACGCTTTCAAAACTGGCCGAAGAGGAACTTCGCGAATGTCGTAACCTTCAGAAGCTGGTCTCTGGTATGTGGCACTACGCCATCCGCGGACTGAACTGACATTGAATAGAGCTGTCCCAACCGCTCCAAGCCACGGACTGCGGTTCGCAGGACCTTCGCCCGCCTGCGGTGAGGTCCTCACTTCAACATCAAAGCCTGGATCGAGGTAAGCTAAAACCTGACGTGCAGGGATTCATGTTGATCAAATATAGAGATGAAGCATATGTTTACGGATGCGCCCGCTCAAAATGTAGCGAAGTTACCTCAGCCATTTCGGACAGCCGTCTTGAGCAGCGCACAATGGAAATCAGAACGAGCCAGAGGATATGGGACCACAGCCTGTATGGCTACGCTGTTCCCGAAGGATGAAACACAGGACGTATCATTCACCATTTGGTGCGGCCACAACGAAGGTTATAGACTCAACGATTTATATGGAGTCAAGCATGCGATTTCTTCTTAATTTTCCCAGCGCATTGTCTCAACCCCTCGAACATAGGTTGTGTAGCCCTTCGGAACCTCAAACTCCTTGTATTCCGTGACATTTTCCTCCAGAGTCTTTCTGTCCTGTGTCTCTTCGTTGAAAACTGATATGTACAGTCCTTGGAATTTGAACGTTCGATCGCTCGTAGCATCTGGTGGAAATCGATGACTCGCAACGTTTCGCTCGTCGCGCCCAGCAAGAGCATCATCACCTTTCTTAGCATATGTCAGCAGAAGACTCAATGGCAGGACGACTGGAAACCTAACTGCCATGGTGAACAAGTTGTAGCAATATGAAAGTAAAATCCCGCTTGCTTTTATTTCTTTCTGTCACGCTATTTGAGGGAGGCGGGGCACCTGGCCCAAGTCGGGCAGTCATTTCATCTAGGGCCTTGCAACGCACATTTAGGCTCCAACAAAGTTCTGACAGTAGTATTTCAGGTACAAAGAGCAGGTAACCATGTAGCGCATCGGCCGTAGGTTTTCGTCGGTAAATCGAGAATCGTTGAGGCGGTGTTAAGAGTCCAGTTAGGTTGTAGCGAGGTTCAGCCGGGAAAGTAGCGCATTTCGATATCACGTGCAGCGCAAGCCGAGCCCGGGATCATATTGCGTCATAGTGCCCCGAATTCTAGTATATAAGCTATAAGCTTGATAGACTATCGACTTTATGGCCTATTTGAATAGAGCCTTGCTAAAGCTCGCCTGTTCGTGCACATAAGACATGCTTTAGTTGGCTGAACTCCACTATCAAGCAGGAAATGCACTCAGAAACAGCCTTCACAATCCCTGCTTCTTTGTCTATGTTGGCCAATTTCTGCGCTGATTTCTCTCCACGACGTGACAATGTGCCTAACTTGCATCAGCCACCTAGAAATCATCACTAGCTTTCGTAGGTGATTGCTCAAATACGGCGCCGCGATGAGCAAGCTGGCCAGGATGGTAAGGAGCTCTATATAAACTCAGCAGGACCCCGTGTTTTCCTCATCATCTTTCGAAATCTAAAGTTATCAATTCAACGCCTTTTCATGACTATGATCTTCAGCCAGGTAGCCAAGAGGTCCCCGAAGACGTAAGTGCGGGCAAATGCTTCTGTTTCTGCGTCCATTGGTGACATACGAATAGGCCCTCATTCTCTAGTGCGACTGCTCCAGATAGCCGCCAGCCCAAGCACGGTGACAGGATTCTGGGACATTTTGAGGAGAATGCGAGCATAGAACAGCCTCAAAGGTTAGGGCTTGCGTTTTGTGTTGCTGATGTCAAACTGACAGATGCTGACACAGCGCAACCAACAACAGCGCATTGCAGACAGCTGTCAATGCTACGGAGCCAAGGCATGCGTACGCTAGGTCGACCGACTCAATGACGGCCGAGGTTGAGCTGCAGGATAGGCCTATAAGCCCCGGTACGCTACCCAGCAGCTTGACTATGCCCTTGGTATTTCTTCTGACTTTGAGCATTATACAGATTCGCATGTACTTAGCGGCTCTGGGAGGGAATTGATCTTTCAGACCCCCAGCCAACCTTCACAAATCGCTTCTCAGGCTGCAGAGGGTGGCACTTCGGTAATCAAAAGCGCCACTTTAGCGTCGCCATGTGGAATCTCCAACGGGATGAAAATGTTCGAACCTCTCAATTGACGACCGATTCAGAGCTTCATACTAACTATTGGTACCAGTGCGGGTGGTGCAACGCAATCCGCCGCAGGCGAGCAAGTCTACGATGACGCCAAACGCGCCACTTCGCCTGCAGATAGCGCCAGCGAAGGACCACCAGGTGAAGTTGCCCTCCACCTTTGCCGAGCTTACTTCGCTAACTAATACAAGGAACCCCAAAAAACGGAAACGAAGCCGCTGGCGCGCAAAATGAAGTCGTCGAACATGCTACCCCGGAGGGTAGCATCTCTCCAGAAACACCACCAAGTATGAGGCCCTTAATATTTTATCGTAGCTATCTTGCTGAATGTTACAATGCCCTGCAGATAATGGTTCTGAAGAGGCAACCTCACAACGCAACGGCGATAGACCAAATGCTTCCCGACTGACGGCCTTGGAGCTACAGCCCCTGCGTTGCTCGCCATCGGCGGATCAAGACAGCGGAGCTAGTGATGGACCACCGTGCACATGCGAATCCACAGACTCAATGCCTTCGACAGCGACATCACTGTCAGAGCATGACGCAGTATTTCTTGTGTTTCCAGTCGACCTCTCAGATGCAATTCCGGCTACTTCTGGGATGGAGCTGATGGACGAACAGTCCCGTCAGGCGTTAGTTGAGGCCTAATTCCAAGTCACGCGGCCAATGATGTGCGAATATTCGGTGGGGCAATCACAAGGTCATCAGGTTTAAAAGGCGCCAGAAACCCGCCCTGTCAGATTTTGGTAGATAGCAATAAAGCTATACATACAAACGCGCACAACACGAAATGAGTCACTCAAACGAACTATATGTGGTGTATACGTGCGACAGAACAGACATTCGGTCGCTCCTTGACAAAATTGTCAAATGTCTCCCATCGCTCACTCCGACTGTGCAGGTGGAGGCAGCGAACGGCAGAATGTTACATTATGAAGAGACACCTGAGATAAAAAGCCTTGGTGCATTTATTCACAATAATGTGAGTTTCGCGCTGGGCGATACGAACTTGGCTAATCAGACCACCAGCTTCCTAACAATCCCGATGTATTCTTCCGTCATCGCATGGAGCGAAGCGAGATAAAACACAAACCAGTCGCGGCATGCTTAGAAGGAACCTCTTGGGTCCGTGTCGAGTCCAATGAGGTCGCTGTTTTGACTCCGCTCTCCAACGAACCAGTTAAAATAATGCTGTGGAAGTGGAAAACAGCAGAGGGCGAGATTCAGGAAAGAAACATCTTAGAAAATGCTGTTAATTCCTGTCTTATATTGCCGGGGGTTGGATTTCGAGTTCTTCCGCAAGGGGTACCATTTCATTTGGCTGTGGTTCCGATAAAAGTCTTAGAAGAATAGCCGCATCTCACTGAAATACACACCCCGTATCCCGTCGCCTATGAATCTTCCACTTGTGCCATTCCAGATGTCGCCGAAATGCTATTATCCGTATCTCCCCAGCCGCTCTGTGCTATCTCTTCGAGCATCTTCTCCCATTCGCTCTCTGGCATCGCTTCGCATATCTCATCTAAGTCGATCTCTGGCATTCCAGATGTTGCTGGGATGCCGTCACCCTCACTGCCCCAATCGAGTTGCCAGTCATAGGGGCTTGGACTTGTCTCTATATCTTCTTCTTGTGGAGATACCTCGAACATTCGTTGCTGCGCGGGGTCTGCAGTGATGCTCGGGGTCCTCGATGCGGTGTCGCCTCGCGGAGCAGTGCTACAAGTTGAGGCAGGGTCGGATACCACGCTGGGGTCCGAGTTCTCGGCCGTCTCTTCTGCGCTTGGCCTGTGCCTCTTTGAGGTAGGAATATCCTCGACCTGGGGTCTCTTCTGCCCGGCTGCTGCACCAGCCCCTTCTCCGCCGCTCTCGCCAGCAGCGGCCGCCGTACCCTGCTGGGTATGGAGGTGAGAAGACAGTGGGCTTGGGAGTAAGAAGGCGCCTGACGATGACGTCACCGACGTAGCGTGATGCCACTGTTGGCTCCCCACGTTGCTCATGTAGCCGCTGTCGGTAGAAGGTTGGGTCGGGCAAAAAAGTGATTCTTCGTTTGATACTGCAGCGTCTGTTCCTCTGGCGCACGCTGGGTTTTGGGCTGCAGGGTTGTCACATGACGCCAGGTGGCCGCTGCCGATTTGACACTCGTTCGTGCCACCCAATCCTGCTCCAGCATCGTCAGAGCTGAGGAGTGATGCCATTGGTCCCTCAGACGAGGACATGGATGACAAGGATGCTGTGTGTTCCTGGTGATTGGTCATTTTACCCTCGCCGGCCGCTTGCTCCTGGAGCTCTTCGAATGAAAGGGATAACCCCCGATCAAGCCTTATCCCGGCGTCCTCCTGATCTGCCATCAGATGTTCTTGAGCAGCAAGATACTCCTCCTCAGCTTCGTCAAACTTGTCATAGTTCAATGCCATACATTTGAGGCTATGGAGACGTAAAAGTTCGCAGATTTCGAAAAAGCTATCGCTGTTTAGCACAATTCGCCTGGTGAATATGAGCTCATACCTCTTTCCGAGAGCCCAACCCACGACAGCAAGGGGAAAGTGCACAGCGACATTCTTGATCTCGGAGATATCGATTGTCTCAACCCGTTTAGCTGCGAAGTTTGCGAACCCTGGAATATCGTGTATATCTCGCCTCGCTTCATCGAGATAACAGTGTTGTTCTAGACGCGTCAGCTTTGTAGACGTGAGGTGAATTTATTTGCCATACCCCTCATCGCCGCATATATAAGGATAACACCCGCACCCAGTATTGGAAACAGCTCATTCATGAGGTGGTAGATCAGCAGCGCCAGCTTCTCTTGGCGTCGCTGTTCCCTTTCTTTGTTAGGGTCTTTAGATTTCGAAAACTGAGCATCGCATTCGCGTAAAATCGCGCGTGCAGTCCAGGAGTCGTTCTTATACGTCCATTTCAACTTCTGCGCTTTTTCTTGGAGCGCTTTCGCGGCTTGGGCGATGTCAAGGTCCAATCTGTCATTTGTCTCCAGTGCGCTACGCGTTCTGTTGCTGATGTCGTCGAAGACACGATCCAATCTGCGGTTGTTCTGAAGCCGGTACTTAACGATCTGGGAGGATAAAGAAACCCATGTAGGGGAGCACTCAGATTGAAGCTTCGCAATGCCGTCACGTATATGACTCTCGACCCTTCTCCCATGTAGCTCGAACAGCGTTCTTTTCTTCAAAGCTTCTTGTTCCGCCGATGAGGGTGAGAGTTTCAGTTGTTCCACTATCTTCTCCAATTCGCCCGTCTGCTGCTTCTGGTTTTGCAAGAGCAAGGCAGCTTCCAGCATCTGGCTCAGTTCCGCCAAGGGAAGGGGGTTTTGCAGCATAGTCATGACTGAACGGCTGTTCTCTTCGCAATTTCCGGAAGCAGAACACCATTGTCTGCAACTTGGCCTGTTCTTTTCATTAGCATACGACAAACAGCAGAAGAGCAACATACAATTCCTTGTACATCCACAGGCCACGCCCGAGCTTCTTGTCCAGGTACAGTGCAATCTCGTCTCCTATCACTAGCTGCGTGCAGCATGGTACGTATTCAACCTCGCATATGCTGCCTGGGTCTTTCCGTGCGATGGTAAACTTACAACATACAAAGTGTGCACCTACCCCCAGACGTTCACAATACTTTTCGATGCCTTTTTGCCCTCTTCTTTTCGCAGTCATTTTTCGTCGGTGGAGGAAGATGTTGGAGAACAAAGCTAGGACAAAACGTGCAGGCGGCCATTGAATACCCAGTCAGCCGCTTCTCAGGTCGAGGAGGAGAGGAAGGGGCCATGTGTGTTTCTACAGGGTGCTAGCTTGGCCACCATGGCCGCCTATCACGGCCGCACTCTTGAACAATCGACAGAGACAACGACGACCCATAATTCCGTGGGTGTTTTTAAAAACACCCACGAATTTATGGATCCCAGTTTTCGTCAGCCGCTCTGTCCAGCGTTGCCTCCGGGAACGGATCTGCAAGAGCCGGTCCCATCACCATACTGGATTCCAATTCAACGAATGGCTCATAGTAGAACCGTAGGATCTTGGACGATTGACGGGCACCTGCCCATTGTACCGAGCGGAACAGGGGCATCATGAAGCATGTCAATCCGGCCCACGTTACATAGAACCTGGTAATGCAAGTACTAGCGGACCTACACCGCAATGCAAGGTATACTGCTCTTTTCGTACGACACATTAGTGCAATGCGGTGCGAAGAGAAGAGACAGCAGCAAACTGTGGCCCGCTCCAAGAGAACCCAGTGATCTCCATTACGCAGATATTCCTACCATGCAATGAACCGGCTACGAATGCTTGACAGTTGCTTAGTTGGCCAATTATATCATGCTGGAGCAACTGACGAGGCAGAGTAGGCTCCTCCATAGACACTACTTATGACTCGGCATCCCCGATGATATGCACTCAACAAATAGGCCACACCGCTCATCGCAATGCTGCCTAGCATTGGTCCTCTGGAATACATCTCAGGGTTTACCGCATATGCCATCCTCGTTGTATATCTCGCAATCAGGCTTTTTTTCAAAAAAAAAATTTCCCTCGTGGTCGGACTCGCGTTATGCATTGTATCGTTATTAGTATGCGCGCTAGTATTCGGCATATCACGTCTCAGGGCCGACACAGGGCTTCAGTTCGGATCATTTAACGCTTTGCGACTAGCGAACTGGCTGTGCATAAGTATAGAGGCAGTAAGTGTCTGAACACGGTTTTCTTGACCGGACTAAGGCTAATGCTGATAGACCGAATTCAACATAAACCTGCTCTATCAAGTCGGCTCATACCTTCACATGATCATACCGGCGCTGGGCTACATAGCCTCACTTTGCCTTGTTATATTCGGCTTTCAAAGCTACCTTGCTGTGCAGTCGCAATGGTGTTGGGGTTCTATCTTGGTTATGAGCATGGTTCCAGCCTTGACAGCTATCAGCATTGCCTGTGCTATCAACGACGAGGACCTACGGCGGGATACTCTGCGCAAAGTGCGCAGAACTATGGCTTGGCTCGCGTTCCCAGTACTTACTGGCCTGGCATTAATAATACTCTGCTGTTATATTTCTGCTACGCAAGTGCCCCCCCTACATGAACTCCAATATCCTGCCCATGCCATACTGGGTCAAGTGGTGGTGGCGCTCTCGCAGAGAAAAAGTCTTCTCGGAAGACTAGAGCGAGACTATGACGACAATGAACATAGAAGAGATTCTCCAAGTACATCTAGGGAGACTTTGGCGAATCACGCAGAGGATCCTGGGAACGCGTTAGTGGACTTGAACCGCGAGGTCACCGACGCCTACCACGTGCAGCTTCAGGAGATATACAAACTCAGACCTCAGGACACTTGAATCAAATTTATCAAATGTTTCTTGGCTACCAAGGGGCCTATCCACCAAATCACTTCGTTCGAATGCACTTATAAGAAACAGCCACCTAAGCTGAACCCCAGATTTGATACATACCTATGTCTACTTCTTTCCTTAATGAAAATAGCTATTCTCCGCCATAGTCCTTCGCTCCCCGGTGCCCGTCACTACTCTAGTCATGAACAGATGAGTTTCCCTGGCGGCGGATTCTACAGGTACCGCTGTACATACTTCCTCTCTTGTAGCTGACATCTCCGCGTGATGGGGAGCGAACGCTCGTGGTCTTTCCCGGAGCAGACCTTCACCAGACTGTATTTGCAGATGGACATATGAAGATAGTACCTGGGCTCACTCTACTTTGCCAACCAGAGACAGAACTCAGCTCGCAAGCAGGGCTAATTGGCCGGGTCAAGGACATCTTTGCGCTGGCCTGTTAACCTCCATAATCAAATTACAAATGGAGGAGGGAGGGGGCCCTTTAAAATGCCACCATGTCCCGCAGACCTCAGAATCTCCAGACCGTCTCCATCCCATCGTGCACCTCCCCCTTTCCTAAGAGAAGAATCTCTGAATCGTTCTCGCTTTAATAGCTCCTCCTTCTCAACTTTGTCTCGTATCTCGTCCTGCCTTTACCTCAACCTCCCCTCCTTCTGTTCAACTTCATCTCAAAGCCGTTGCACGCAATGACACGCTCTAGAGTTCTCGACGAGCAGCGAATACGAATTCGTCACGCTTGCAAGAACTGTCAGGGACTCAAGCAAAAGGTGCGATAGAAACCATTCCGAAAACGATCCATGGGAATGCCCGCCGGATGACCACCCAAGCAAGGGAGAAGGGAAAGTATTGACAAGACGAGACAGTGCGACGGACAGACCCCTTGCTTTCGCTGCAAGAAGCGAGGGCATCACTGCTCCTACGATCCCCTTCAGAAGCGCAAGAACATCACCCGCATCCCGAAGAACGACGGGGACAGGTACGAACCGGTGGCTGCTCCTAAACTCCCAAATCGATCTGGCGTCCCCATCTGTACGTACAGCCCGAATTTACCTTCTCTTCCTATACCCCTAACCAGCTAACACAATGAACTTGTACGTAGCTGGCTCCTCGTCGGCTAGTTTTCTCGCAGAAATCAAGAGTCCCACAGAAAAGGGCGAGCTCAGCAGCCTCTCCTCCCTACGCCGCCTCGTCGAGCAGATACCACGTCGATTACCGGCTATGGGCGGCGTCGTTGGCGAGGAGCCCATTTATGTCGACATGGGTCCCTCCGGAGGAGCAGCGGTTGGCTATGATGTGCCGAGCGCTGGCAGCACCGACGACGGCGTCGGCTGCTGCTACTCCGCAGCGCCGGATCACATGGACACGGTGCCGGTGGGCGCGACAGGCATGATGCAATTGGGTGCATGGAGCGCACACGCTTCCCCGAGCATCAACCTGACGCACTGCGCGAGCGATGCAGGGTGCTATGGGTTTGCGATGCAACAGGACGGATACGAGGGCAACGCCATGCAGGTGACGCAGGACTATACGGCGTATCAGGGACCATAAGTATATCTATCTTAACGTATAATGAATTGGTTGCCCGTATCAAGAGCAACAGCATTGTTTGCCATGAGCATCGAATGGGAAGCTACTTGCCCCACCGACCGAGGCCAACGCAAGCAATGTGATGAAGTAGATACCTGTATTCAGTATACAAATCTACCGTACCCAGACTGTTCTATTTTCTTCATGCTTCATTCACGTGCTCCCGTCCAGACACTGACGGAGATGAACACGAATTTTGATACACCGCCCAACAGCGAAAAGCCCGTTGCCGCTTCAAGCCGCAATGGAGCGGAGAAACAGCCGCAAAAACTCCCGGTTGTTGAACCTCTGATTAGTCCTAAGTAGGTTGACGTCAAAATGATTAGCCTTCTCGGAGGTGTTGAAAGGTCTAGTGTTCATCCACCAAGCCAGGAGTTGTATTCCTATTCCTTGGGCATTACTGATAAGTATCTCCGCGTATGTTGATCTTTGCACGAGAAAACAAGGTGACTAACTTGAATAGAAATGTCGCGCTTGTCGAAAGAAGTTTCAACTCCAAGTCAATCTGTTCATTCATTACAACAAAATTCATCACATGCTCTGGAGATGCACGGAGAATCGGCGCTTTCAGTGCCTGCTTAAGGGGGCAGCGGATCGATCCAAGAAGACCTGTCTGCGTCACTTTACGGATGTGAATGAGATGAGGGATCACCAAAAGTTGGTCCACCCAGATGAGAGCGACCACCTGCTCGAAGGCGCGAAGCACTTTATTAAGAAAGGTGAAAAATGTCTAAGACGGGGTTTCCGTCAATTGATAGAAAAATAGCTTGGATTCTTGAAGAAGTGACAAGACCTTTAATCTGGCGTGGCTGATCTACCCTCGAGGTAATCAGGCCCGCTATCGAAGCTATCCTGAAAGACATCGAATAAGATACGTGGTCCTCAGGATTTTGCCGAAAAATATTCCGAGGGTTGCCCCCTAACGGCACCTCGCATGCACCTCGCGAAGACGTTTATACCGCGGCGTACAAGATAAATACTGAATACAATTAGTTTATCGTGCCCATGGCTAGCTAACGTCTCCTACATCGCATTCTCTAGCTAGCACAAAGGAATGGCAGAGAAAAGTCTCTTTCATCCGCTTACGGCACAATTTGCCAAGGTAAATGCATATGCAATCCAATCATGCCTTTACTAAGACTTGGAACTAGGAAAGATATTTTCACATCCTTTTGCTGCTCGATGTCCCTATCTTGCTACACGCTGGCCCAGCACAGTGGCTGCAGGTTGACACTATCAACAAGGCCAAGCATGCCGTTTTTTCTTTGCTACACGCAAGAACTCTGCAAAGTGCACCGGATATTGCTCAAAAGTATAGAATAGACGCGTCTACGTACTATCAATCCGCCATTACGCAGTTGCAATGGCGTCAGCAGCGCAACTGGGGAACCATAGTATTTCACCATTGCGCCGTATACTTCTGCATTTATGAGGCAGTTACAGGGAATAAAGAGGCTGCTGAAACGCATGTGTCCTTCCTCCTGGACTCTGGTGAACGTGATGCTCGTCAATTTCTCTGTTCCATCATGAGACTGTTACCACAAGAATGGGAATGCTACAATTTCAGAATCGATAACAGTTCGCCGCCACTGAACGACCGTTGGCGAGACAACAACAAAATGGACGCTGAGTGACAGTGCACCGCAACACGGGAAGAGCCTCTGAGTGATGATTTGGAAGCAGCAGGTTATGAGTAAGGGTTTTCAGGGCCTGTACCAGAGTCACCAAGCACATCCAAACTACATATATAAGAGGTAGCACCTTGTCTTAGACAATCTAAAATGATGATTCAACTCGAGCTACCAGGTATCGACTTCCAAGGACCCTTGATGCCTAACAACGCGGAAAATGGACTATGTAACGTGGCCGGAGGCTATAAGCGTGCATTATACGTGGCAGATTATCTTGGTGGTATTTACGGAAGCTGGTGACCTTGATGCGCGATCTCTGGCAAACGAGACGCTAGGCCGTCTAACGAACAGGACTCAATGTCTACCGATTCTTATGAAATTTCACTGCTCCATTGGCTCGATCCCCCTAGATAAGGGTACAATACGTGCAGACTCCTTGCGTCTGAGCCAAGAGGTAGTAGAGATCATTCGCGATTGGAACACGTGGGAGTGGCCCAAGGCGGACAAAGTCGTATTTCGCGAAGCTCTGGTCAGTAACACTGATATAGTCTCGTCCCCAATGCTAATTCAACATAGATGCACTTGAGGAGGGCTATTCACGAAACCGCTAGACGCCATGAGGTCTCGGTGAAAACGTGGTATTTGTCTGACGAGGAAAAGTGTTGGGAGCTCTATGTGTTCATTCAAGATCTGTCTATTTCTGAAAAACGTTATGGTGAGCTTTCGGCGGGGTTCGCTGCAATCAGGCTAGGGAATGTGCCGCACTGATGGTGTATTGTTTTCAGGCACAGATTCAAACTCACAGACGAGGAGGAGTAGGCGTGCGGCGGTGGTAGCTAGTGACCGGTAAGCTCCTTTCTGGTCAATTATAAGAGAAATAGATTGCCTACATCCTAGTGATTATTCTCTCTTTCTCTTTATTTCCCTATATTATGATTTCTGCATATTCTAGACCTTTGATAATGGCTTATCAGAACCCTCGGTATCATGATTCATTATACTCAGCCATGTTGCCATACGATGCTGGACTCCATAATGTGAGACGCATTGGCATTTTCCCTCCACAACGCATAAACCTGCTACCTTCCAGCACCGAGGCAATGACCAGGAACCCCCCAATGGACAAATTTTTGATTCTTACGGCGTCTAAGATACGTCACCTTGGTCTCTTGCTTACCGAAACAGTCTTCAACGATATTCAGAATGCCGTCCTAGTCGTCGACGATACTCGAAATCTCGTTCGAAATATGCCAGGTGTCGAGATGTTAGACAAGAATGTCTATATAGCTCTCCAGAGCCTCGAGGCGATGGTACTACAGCGAGCTGGGTCACTCCTGTTTGAAAACGCCTTGGAGGAACTTGGGCGCCACATCCGTGAAGAAAGGTGGGTTAGCTAGGCGCCGTTCCTGCCCATAACTAATTTCAACAGACTAGCCGAGGAAGCCCATGACAAGTGCTCGCAGAATATTGTGTGGAAT